GAGAGGGAAGTCAACAGATTGAACAAAGGAATCTTCATGATGTGCATAAAGGCAAAGGGACAACAGTTTAGTGGTTACCAGGAGGTAGGGGGGAGGGGGGTGGTAGATGAGGGAAAAGGGGGATCAAATGTATGGTGATGGAAGGAGAACTGACTCTGGGTGGTGAACACATAAGACAATATACAGATGATGTATTACAGAATAATACCCTTGAAACCTATGTAGTTTTACTAACCAATGTCGCCCCAATAAATTTAATTTTTTTTAAAAAGCAAAGGGAAGATATTTAGTTGAGGGAGTTTGAAGAGAAGATTAATCATGGAAGCAACCTTTCTTGAGAAAAAAAATGGTATCTGGGACATTTGTGAAATGGTTAAATTTACAGAGGGAAGAGAATTTTATTGTATTCAAATATTAGGTCCTAAATTACTTCTAATTATTAACCAAACATAATTTGAAGTCTTTCATGGTATAAACTTTAAAACTGTAGTTGTAGTTATAACTCTTATAACTCCTCCCGGTGTGAAGAAGCTGAAGAGTGAGTTTGCTCAGTTCTGGTTGTAGATCCTTAATATTAATTAGCACTGAGTTTAGGATTCCACACACCCTCTTAAGCATAGAGTTAAATGAAGACTAGTGCCGTCTGTTTCAGAGGAAATAAGAATAAAGAGAGAATGATGAAGAAGGTAATAAAAAGAGCTTCAGAGAAAAAGGAAATAATTTTTGAAGAGAAAGCAGTAAATTTTGTAACAAGCAATTCAGAATGAATTTCACTTGTTCAATGAAAGTTAAATGAAGTTAAGGCTTTTAAAAACTTAACTGGAGTATGTGACCAATAAAGGTAATATCTTTACTAACCTTGTCATTCACATCTCTAATGAATATGCAAGTTGGCATTTTACTCTGTCAATACCACCTATTAATAACTCAACCCAAAATGTGACGGAAAATAATTTCATAAGGCTAACTGTTTCCCTGACATATTAGATGGAAGTGTATGTTTATGTTTTCTACCACAANCTCTCTCTCTCTCTCTCTCTCTCTCTCTCTCTCTCTCTCTCTCTCTCTCTCTCGCCTCCCCTCCCTCTCTCCCTCTTTCTCCTTCCCTCCCTTCTTCCTTCATCCTATTCCACTCCTAACATCTGTACACACACACACACATTTCGTAAAGGAACTTTTAATGAATGCAAGCAAGCAGTAAGAATTTTTAGTACATTTTCATTATCTATATTAATGAAATAGGTATGACAATATAAAAGCACAAACACTTAAACATCATTTGGCTTCAAAATTAACCAACCAGAGAGTTATTTAGCAGAAGGAATGATAAAGAGTGTCTGGTCCAAAACTATTCACTTTACAGTTGATGAATTTTAT